CCCAACTCATACAAAATTGTCTCCATCCCTTGTTCAACCACCCGAATTGGAATTAAAGGTCTTACCTCAACACTTGAAGTATGCCTACTTGGGAAAGAATGAAACCCTTCAGGTTATCATCTCAACTCATTTAACCGAATTTGAAGAAGAGCAACTCCTCAAGGTGTTGAAGGAGCATAAAGAAGCCATGGGTTGGACGATTGCGGATATCAAGGGTTTGAGCCCCTCCACTTGTATGCACAAGATCTTAATGGAGGATGAATGCAAGCCAAGTAGAGACGCGAAAGAAGGTTAAATCCACCAATGATGGAAGTTGTGAAGAAAGAGATATTAAAGCTTCTTGATGCGGGGATGATCTATCCAATCTCGATAGCAAGTGGTGAGCCCGGTGCAAGTCGTTCCAAAGAAGACGGGAATCACGGTGGTCGAGAACAACAAAGGTATGATGGTCCCCACCCGTGTGCAAAACGGGTGGAAGTATGTATTGACTACCGCAAACTCAATGCGAGCACACGAAAAGATCATTTCCATTGCCTTTCATTGACCAAATGTTAGAAAGGTTGGCCGGGAAATCCCATTATTGTTGTCTAGACGGGTACTCTGGTTTTCACCAAATCCCGGTGGCACCGGAGGACCAAGAAAAGACAACATTTACATGCCCATTTGGTACTTTTGCATACCGGAGAATGCCATTTGGATTGTGTAACGCCCCGGCCACTTTCCAACGTTGTATGGTTAGTATCTTTTCGGATTATGTTGAAAACATAATTGAGGTTTTTATGGATGATTTCACGGTACATGGCAACTCTTTTCAAGAATGTTTGACTAATCTCACAAAAATTTTAAAAAGATGCATTGAAACAAACTTGGTTTTGAATTTTGAGAAATGTCATTTCATGGTGAGTCAAGGTCTCATTTTGGGTCACATTGTGTCTAAAAAAGGAATTGAGGTAGATAAGGCCAAAATTGATGTTATTCAAAGCTTACCTTACCCGACTTGTGTTCGGGAAGTTCGTTCTTTTTTGGGCCATGCAGGTTTCTACCGAAGGTTCATCAAGGATTTTTCAAAGATAACAAGACCAATGTGCCAACTCTTGCAAAAGGAGGTCGATTTCGAGTTCAATGAGGCGTGCAAAGAAGCTTTTGAAAGCTCAAAGAGTTGCTTACATCCGCTCCCATCATGCAAGCACCAAATTGGGATCTCCCTTTTGAGATCATGTGTGATGCAAGCAACTATGCGATAGGCGCCGTTTTGGGTCAAAAGAATGGGAGGGCCTCCCATGTGATCTATTATGCATCAAGGACACTAGACAATGCCCAAAGCAACTACTCTACCACGGAGAAGGAGCTATTGGCCATAGTGTTCGCCTTGGAGAAATTTAGACAATACCTACTTGGTACCAAGGTCATAGTGTATTCGGATCACGCAGCTCTTAAGTACTTGATGACGAAGAAAGATGCAAAGCCGAGACTCATCCGGTGGATCCTACTGTTACAAGAATTTGACTTGGAAATCCGGGACAAGAGCGGATGCGAGAACCTCGTTGCCGATCATCTAAGTCGGATCACTTCAAATGAAAATCCTCTCCCATTGCGGGACGAGTTTCCGGATGAGCATCTCTTTTCCCTTACCCAATCTATTCCTTGGTATGCCGATATCGTTAACTTTTTGGTCACAAAAAGGTATCCCGACACATTCACGCGTGCTCAAAAAGACAAGTTGAAAAGTGATGCAAAATACTATGTGTGGGATGAACCTTATTTGTGGAAACATTGTCCTGATCAAATCATTAGGCGATGTGTGCCCCAACAAGAGCACCAATCCATTTTGCAATTCTTTCATGAATTTCCTTGTGGGGGACACTTCGGACCTAGCCGGACTTTGAGAAAGGTCCTTGAATGTGGATTATTTTGGCCAACCATGTCACACGATTGTTATATGTTTTGCAAAAGTTGTGAGCGGTGCCAAAGGACGGGAAACATTTCGCAAAAGAACCAAATGCCCCAGAATCCAATCCTTGTTTGTAAAATTTTTGATGTATGGGGGATTGATTTTATGGGCCCATTTCCCGTATCATTTGGCAACGTTTATATTTTACTCGCGGTTGACTATGTTTCTAAATGGGTTGAAGCCAAAGCCACAAGATCGGACGATGCCAAAACGGTTATCGAGTTTTTAAAGTCTAATGTTTTTGCGAGATTTGGTGTGCCTAGGGCTTTGATTAGTGATAGAGGGACGCACTTTTGCAACAAAATGATGGAGGCTCTATTGAAGAAGTATCACGTGACTCATCGTGTCTCCACTGCCTATCACCCTCAAACGAATGGTCAAGCGGAGGTCTCGAATCGTGAAGTGAAGTCTATTCTAGAGAAAACGGTGAATCCGACAAAGAAGGATTGGAGTTTGAGACTTGACGATGCCTTATGGGCATATCGGACCGCTTATAAGACCCCGATTGGAATGTCACCCTTCAGATTAGTTTTTGGAAAATCTTGTCATCTTCCCGTCGAGTTAGAGCACCGAGCATTTTGGGCGGTCAAGAAATGCAACTTCGACATTGACGAGGCTGGAAGGCATAGGAAACTTCAACTCCAAGAGCTAGAAGAATTGAGAAACGAATCCTATGAAAACGCAAGGATTTATAAGGAGAAAACGAAGCTCTTCCACGACAAGTCCATCACCCGGAAGAATTTTGAACCGGACATAGGGTCTTACTTTACCATTCACGGTTGAAGTTATTCCCGGCAAATTAAGATCAAGGTGGATTGGCCCATTTGTTGTAATAAAGACTTTTGACCATGGAGCGGTGGAAATCCAAAGTGAAGAAACGGGACAAATTTTCAAAGTTAACGGGCACCGATTAAAGCCATTCTATGAAAGTTTTAATGCAAGTGTTATTGAAGTCATCCACTTGGATGTCCCGGTGTGTTGAACCAAGCTAGAAGGACGTCTCGCCTAAGACGTTAAAGAGAGGCATTTTTGGAAAAGCTTTATGCTTTCGTGTTTCTACGTTCGAATAAAGAAGTTTTGAAAATGTTTTGATGCGTCTTTTGAAGTCATTTTTGAAGAAATCAAGAGTTTCTAGGTGTTTGGGGCATTTGGGATCAAGAACTAGTGAAGAAACGGAAGAAAACAGAGAAAAATCAATTTCCGGGAGCAGTGATCTGCGCGACCTGCGCACGGGTGCGCGGCCGGTCTTCAACTTGCAACAAAAATCAGATACCTAACTGCATGATCTGCGCGACCCGCGTGCCCCCTCTGCGCGACCCGCGTGCTGCTTTGACGACCAGCCCATATTTTGTTGACCAGCTTTGACTTTCGTTGACCAGGTGGTTTAATGAGTTGACCAACATTGACCAGGTGTTGACCACACTTGAATATGGATTGAAAACCTCCAGCAACTCTTCTTCTTCATTTCATTCTCTCAAAAACCCCACCATTCTCTCTTAAACTCTCAAGAACACATAAACCCACTTTTCACAAAAATTTGATTTTCCGGAGTTCCACCGGTCGGAATACGACGAGACCACCACCATTCTTCACCCTTTTCCGTGCTCTACAAACCCCACCTGAAGTTTACTCCGATCCATCGCCGGGTCTAAGGGCGCCAACACCACCCAACTCGCTGCTTTCCGACTATTTTCCGGCCAACTCCTACCACCTCTCGCAATTCCAACACCACCAAAGTGTTTCTTTTTTAGGGATCTTTACATCTAACCAAACAAAACCTCAAAATCTCACCAAAAATTTTCCCATAATTTTTGAGCCACCACGATCTGCCGCCGGATTTTTCACACAAATCAAGTTGAAAATATCCCTTCAATGAACAAGTCTTGCATTTAGGCACCCACGAATAACCAAAGCTTGGGGTGCACGGTAGCGGATTCCGGGTTCAAGTTCAATTTTGGGATAATACGGGTATTCTCTTTCCTTGGTTTTTATTACATTGCATTGTTTCAATTCGATAATTGCATCCAATTATGCTTTGGAAATTGCCTAAGATCGTTAGTTGTTGCCCGGTTTATTTGGAAACATTGATTTGAGAAAGGTTGAGATTGGTTAATTTGCTTGGAAATTTGTTCAAAAATTGTTTAAACTTTGGTTGGGATTTTCTCATTTTGTCTCGTATTGCTGCCGAATTTTTGTTGGGATTATCAAATTAACCGAGTGGTGTTGTTGAAACCATTTTACATTGTCAAAAGTTGGGTGTCATTATTTCTTGGATTTTTTTTTTTGTGTTCGGTCTAAAGATAGTTGCATTGATTTGAGAGTGATGAGGTGAGGGATTACGTTGGTGAAGTTGTTTTTGATATTGTAGGTTTCGAAAATGGGCAAAACTGCAGCTCAGACGCACACCCATGGATCATCGATCGATCCTGACCCGCAAAAGGATGTCGCCGGTCCATCACGCAAAGCAGCCGGTAAACGAAAAAAAAGAGGAGAAGAGGGAAGCGATCCTTCCCTTACAAATGCTGAGATCAAAACCTATCGCTCCAATCTTCGGGGTCACGTAATCCGGCCGACAAAATTCTACCATAAAAAGTCCATGAAAAAGCTTGGGGTGCATGATGGTGTATACAATTTGTTCCTAAAACTGGGTTGGCGTGGTTTTCTTCGACTTTGTGACAGAACTTACAAGGAACCCACAATGGAATTTCTTAGCACATATGCACGAGATGATGACATGAAAGTCCTCACATTCCAGTTGAAAGGGGAGCATCATAGGCTCACATACGAAGAGCTTGATTCTATCATGGGTATAGACGATCCACTCCGCATCAGCCCCCAAAATCAAGAGTACCAAGATTTTCTGCGTTACCCGGATGCAAACTTTTAGATGCAAATTTCCGGTCTCGCAACCTTCAACCCAAGCCGACAGCGAGCCAAGCACATCGTTCACCCCTGCTGGCGAATTGCTCACCGAGTCCTTATGACGAGTATCTTCGGGCGTCTCGAGCCCGGTCAAATCAACAGATGTGAGCTATTTTTCCTCTGAAGCATGAGGCGTGCACTCCCCCTCAGTTTTTCAGGCTTCTTTTTAGACAAATGTGACTCCATACGCCAATGTTCCTCAGGGGAAATTTTCATCGGGGGACTTATCACGATCATAGGTCGAGCCGTCGGCCTAGACTTCCCGGCTCCTGAGTACATACCTGTCGACACCCCACCGAACTTCCTGCTATACTGTGACACTCTTATCCGGATGGAGATGTTGCTCGATCGGGGAACCCGCACGTACAGTTGGTTAGACTCTGACAAAGCCTTGGTTTACATCCTGCCAAGTTGGATCGGTTCTTCATTCGATACAGGCGACCCAGACACTTGGCTTCCTCCAGATCAGTTGACCCAAGCAGGTGTATTCCCAGAATTCGGTGATGATGAGGGTGACGACGCAGAGCAACAAGAGGAAGAAGATGACGAAGAGAACGACGAGATGCCCGAAGCTAAGGACCATTTTGACCAGCCCTCGATGCAGCAGCCGATGTTTTCGCATGATCAATTCCAGGCCCCTCCACACCATTTTGACCAGCCGCATCAGCAGGAGGGACACAAAGTCCCACCATATTTCCCCCCCCCCCACATTCTTTGACCAATTTGCCACAATGTTCTCCACGGTGCAGCGCATCGACGCCCAAACGCAAGAGAATTCGAGAGCCATCCTAGATGTGGCAAGCCGTGTTGATCGATTGGAGCAGTCCTTCCCTCACACTTCCCGCCAGGTCCAGGATATGTGGGACTACCACTATCGCCACGGGCATTTCCCGCCGCCCGACCCCCCCGATTTAGGTCCTTTCCGCCCTTTCCTCAAGCATTGAGGACAATGCTTGTTCTTAAGCTTGGGGTGGGGCATTTCATTTTCCTTTTATTTTTTCATGCATTTTTAATTAGGTTGCATAACATTTTAGTTTTAAGCTAATTTTCATTCATTTTTTTTAATTCCAAAAAGATTTTATTTTCTTCTTTTTCACCTTTTATATTTTTGCATAACATTTAGCTTAGGGCATTAACATTCATGCATTTTTGTTGTCTGTTTATTCTCATCTCCTTGGATGCCATGGAACAGGTTCATAGTTATTGTATCATTATTGGTCCAGGATCTTGTTGCTATCTCACCCATCGAACCGGGACCATTAGCTGCAGTCTGGGACCTCATACTTGGGATCAGATGCTGGTAGCTTAAAGGGGTAAGTGATCATGGACAGGTAGTTTTCATGAAGAATTATGCATACAATACTAATGACTGTAGGATATACTATACCAATGGATGTCTTAGCCTTGCGGTCACTACCGCCGAGAGGATCACACTTGATCATGTTTGAACCGTTAGGATGAAGCACTAGTGCTTGTCCCCGAGTAGAATCCATATCCAGTCTTTTTACATCACCATATCTTTTCGCGATTTTCTTAGGATTTTAGAGAAGTCTTTTAGTCCGCATGTGGAAAATTTCGTTATTTTAGAAAAAAAAATTGGAAGAGGAGCTTACATTATATCTTTATGCTCCACACATGGTCAGTTTCTCGCTTAGACCATTCAAATTATATTACTACCCTTTCGGTTCCACTTACACACTTTAGGAACCAAATGTTGAGTCAAAGGGTTGTTATTACATTACCTTCAAGTATGGTAACATCTTATCACCCGCGTACTAGCTTCTCAACTAGTATGCTAAGCGTACCCAATGGTATGCCTGTTGGATTAGTGTCTAAGTCCATAACTATTTTGGTATGTATTTGACCTGATTATGAGCATGGTCCTTTTGGGTTGCCTTCACCATAGCAATATGTAGGATGAATTAAGGAGAGAAAGGTTTAATTATAATTTATTAACATATTATGAGAATAATATATTAAAGGAGAAATCATATTGTTTAATTAGTATTAGTCAATAATTAATTTTGTGGCTAAAAGAGGTTAATTAAACTTAAGGGACTTATTGTGTAATTATAAGATAATTACATAGATGGGCTAATGGACTCCATAGAAGTTGGAGTGGACGAATTCTATGGGGAAACCCATTAGAAATCGTCCAAGGTTTCTAAAGAGGGAGTCCATGGGCTGCTTAGGGCTTAAGCAGTCAGATTAGGGTCTCCTAGCTGTAAACCCTAATAGCCAGAATATATAAGGAACCCTTGTGGCACCAAAAACGTGGTAAACACTTGGATTAGGGTTTCCAACCATTTTTGGTGCCTCCCCTCTCTTCCCTCTTCATTCTTGTTGCTTAGTGGTGTTTGCGATTCCATTAGAGGTGCAACACTTGAGGCACTAAGCTTTCTAAAGCCAAGGAATAAATTGTTATTACTATATAACAATCAAAGGTTAGATCTAAACCCTATTTTATGTTAATATGATTAATTGTATGCTGGATCTAGGGTTTATAGCTTTGGATATTCAATTGCATGTTCATTAGACAAACTAGATCCAAAAGCTATTAGGGTTTGCATGTACACCATAGGAATGATGTATTGCTCAGTGGTATTAGAGCCTAGGGTTGTTTGTTAGTGAATTTGATGCTTATTTGATCGAAAAATTGGTTGAAAATCGATTTTTGGGGTTTTTTCGACTTGACTCATCGATTCAACTGGGTGACTCGTCGAGTCCATAGTGAACTCGACGAGTCAAAGAGTCAGATGGAGCTAATTTCGGGATTTTAACCTGTTTTGGCTGTGGATAATTACCTAAAACGTTTTTTATTAATAAAATCTGATTTTTATCAATATTTGGAGATTATCCTAGCCAAAATATAAGATAATTGTCAAAATTTAGATAATCCTTTGTTTTATTAGATAAAAATTGATTAATTGTAATTTAGATTTTAATTATCTTGTTAAAAAGTTTCAATTTCCCCCTTTAAGTTTTATAGTTTAAATTTGAAGTTAAAAGTTTTGGTTTTGAAATTTAAATAGTTAAACCCTAATGTTTTGAAAAGTTTCAAAAACTTGTCCTCAAGTTTTGGATTTGAAATGTTGATTAAAGGTTTAATTTTGAAATATTTAAATTATAAACCCTAAGTTTAAAAAAGTTTCAAAACTTACCCTCAATTTTTGGATTTTAAAATTAATGAAAAGTCTTAATTTGAAATTGTAAATTCTAAAATCCAAGTAATTTAAAAAGTTCAATTTACACCCTTATGTTTTTATTAATTAATTAAAGTGTATAATTAAAAGATATTTAATAAACCCGTAAAGTTTTGGTTTACATTTAATATATAAATTAAATTAAAAGTATAATTTACTAAATTAGACCACCTAGTATTTTAAAAGTGTAAAATACACCCTATACTATAAATAACATTAAAAGTATAATATTATATATATATATACATATATATATATATATATATATATATATATATATATATATATATATGTATGAGAAAACGGTCAGTCTTACCATTAGTAGGCCTTATTCACGAAGCTGATCTATAAGGGGTGTTTAAGGAAATTGCTTATAAAATGATGATTGAATGGGTATCCACTCTTACACACCGCACTCTTGACTAGTGGAGGGTCGTTAGTTGAACAGGTAGGATAGGACGAAACCTTCCATTATAAGTATAATGAAGTACAATGTAACTAAATGTTTTTCAAATTCCCAAATCACAGTTACTTTAGGCCAAATGTGAAATTGTATGCTAATCCATGGAATGACACTTTGTACCCTTGTCGAGACGTTAGTGAAGCGTGTGTGGTTAACTGGCACACTAATTTGGGTTTGGCATTGATGGCGAAGGGTGGCTCGATTTTTATCATAGATCAATGGAGCGTGTGTGGCTAACCAACACATTGATTAGGTGATAGTAGGATTAAGTGCAACACGTAGATTTATATGGTTATTCACACCTTGTTTGTGGTACTCAACATCCCAGTCGCAAACTTGAAGGGCATAATCGAGATTAAACATGTCATTGAAAAGTTCAATGAATCTTAAAAGATCTAGGAGTTTCAATTCATTTAAAACTTAAACTTCATTTTCGTTTTTCATGGTGGAAATTGGTGAATCGTCATTTACCTACTATTCTGTAACTAGATTACGACATCCCTCTTCTAGGTTGTAGAGTATTGTGTTGGATCCTAGCCTTGATGTTTCATTTTGGGTGTTACATCAAGGATTCTTATCAATTTAACTTGAATTTTCTCCCGTTTTGTAGATGTCTGAATCTTACAATGGTATTCCCAAATCCTATGGAACAAGATTTCCAAATGAAGATGACGTTCCAAGATACGATCAAGGAAATGAGAGTCATGCATCACTTCCTCCACCTCTTCCAATTGTTCTCCCTGACCCACAAGTTCAAAGGATTGAAAAGTTCAAACTCACTCAAGCCCTTTTGGCAAGTAAACACGAAGATGGGAAACCTGTGTGTGCACACGTCTTAGAGATGAAATCAGACATTGACAGGTGAAGGATGTTGGGTGTTGAGATTTTAGGTGAGTTGGTTGTTGACTGGGTTCTTTAGTCACTTCCCGAATCATATAGTGAATTCGTAAGAGAGTACTATATGATGGAATACGACGTGACCCTAGTTGATCTCACTTATTTGCTTATAGCTGCTGAATCAGCAATGATTTGGTGTGCCGGTCAAGCAAATTTGTCTGGTGAGTCAAACTCCCAAGATTCAACGGACACTGGCAACATTGGAAGTCCAGAAAGGACTGAGCATGAGATCGTCCCATGTAATGTTCCAAAGGAGTCCATTTGCTTTTATTGCCAATAGAAGGGGCATTGGAGACGAAGCTGTCCTGTTTACATGAGAGATCTAAGAGATGGGAGAGTCAAGACGTATGACTCTACTTCAGGTAAAATCCATTAACTTACTCTATAAGTTCCTAGTTTGGTTCTTAATACATGATATGATAAGATTACATTTCGATGTTTTGCAGGATTGAAGAAAAGAAAGGAAACTTAAGGAAGAAGTGTGTTGAATCTGATCACGAAGAAATGGATTTCGATCGCATGGATTCAAAGATCGGATTTTGAGCTGCTACTTTAGAGTTAGGGTAGATTGCTAAGAAATATGTAATAACATAGTTTTTTAGTTGAATTGCATCGCAAGGACAAGTTTTCCCGCAAAAAAATAAATTTTGAGTTTTATCTTATTTATTTATCCTTACAATGGCGTGTATGAAAAAAATTGATGTTTGTGTATTTCTATTATTAACAAAATGGATTTGATTCTTAATTAGGTTATTTGTGGAAGTGTCGAGAGTTTACCAAATAGGGAGAGTTTCTCATCGCCCAAGTTTCAACTGGATAGAAACTTGGAATCATGCAATGTGTATTGTATGATGAATGAAAAAACTTTCACATTTGGGAAATTTAGACTAATTCTTTGACAAAATGTCAATTGAAGGACTAGGAGATCAAGTACACTAGGTCGTACGTTGATCAAGTCTACCACAAAAGTGACAAAGATATTCGTCATGATTTACTAAAGTTTAGTAAATATGGTTATACTTAGAAGATTAAGTATAATTTCGAGTTGATTGAAAGAGTTTCAATCAATAGCAGAACAAATAATAAGAATCAAGTAGGCAGAAAGATAAAAGTTTCTCTATTCTAAGAAGAAGGGAGAGTACCTTTTATTCTGTT